TCTTTTTTTTTAACTGCAATTTCTTTGCTTTCTGCTATTTAATCACTTGTCCAACCACAGGAATCTATTGATTGGCTAATAAGATCACAAACTTGTCATAGACCATAGTGAATCTCACTGTAAATGAGCTTTAAAAGAAAAGATGTCACTTTGAGGACTATGGTGTGCTTGGCCCAAGCCATGGTATTTTCACTCACCTCATATGCATGCAAAAGCTAGATAGTGAATAGGGGAGACTGAAGAAGAGTAGATGCCTTTGAATTATGATGTTGGCAAAGAATACTGACTGGAACATAGAGTGCCAGAACGAATGAATCTATCTCGGAAAAAGTTCAGCCAGAATGCTCCTTAGAATCAAGAATGGTGAGACTTTGTCTCTCACACTTTGGACATGATATGAGGAGGAACCAGTTCCTGCAGAAGAACATCATGCTTGGTAAAGTAGAGAGTCAGTGAAAAAGAGGAAGACCATCAAGGAGATGGATTGATACAGTGTCTGCAACAATGAGCTCAAACATAGCAACAATTGTGAGGATGGTGCAGGACTGGGCAATGTTTTGTTAGTCAGTGGCACCTAACAACAACAAGATGCCACTTTGCTTTCTATACTATCTACAGTGATTTCACTCTACTTGAATAATAGTAAGTGATTTGTTTTTCATTTTGCAAAAGATGTTATTTGATTTGATTTTGTTTATTTTCTGTATTTCTCTATATAAGATATGCATTAAACATTGGCATAAGTGTGTGAAGTGCTCTGCAAGTGTCTTAGACTGGGGTCTCTAGAGAAGCAAACCAGGGAAGCTCATGTATGTAGATAGATAGATAGATAGATAGGTAGATATTAATTTATCCTAAGGAAATGACTCACATGGTTGTAGAGGCTGGCAAGTCCCAAGTTCATGGGTCAGCCTGGAAGCTGGAGGCTTCTCCTGACTCATGTAGCAAAAGGGACTGATGAACCCAAGATTGGCAGGCAATACAGAAGCCTCCTGGCTGTGGAGGCTGACAAATCCAAGATCAGCCATTTAGATGGCAGGCTGCTAGCTCACAGGTTGTGAAAACAACAATCCCAAGATCAGCAGGCAATATGGCAGGCTGCTGGTTTACATCCAAAGAACCAGAGGTCAGATAATGATAAGCCAGCAGAATCCAGATCGAGCAAAGAATCAGAGAGCTTTGCCAGACATCCGTATATATGTACTGGAAACAGGTCACATTCCTGAGGAAACTTCTTTTCAACTGATTGGTTGCTCATAACAAATCTCAACATGGGGGGGCTTACATTACATCAGATCTCATCATGTGGGATGACTACATATAACTGCCAAACCACTGAGAGCCATGGCTAACCATGCTGACACACAACATTAACAACAGCAAGTTTCTACTCCAAAGGAAAGCATATTTTAGGAACACATTGAACTTCAAACTAACCTTACACTTTATACCAATATGAAACAAAACTAACAACAACAATAAAAACCTAGAATAGTTTTCTTGAGGTAAGCAAAGAATATTTCAATTATTACATATGCTCTCATCTGATATGCTTTAAGGTTTTTTTTTCTTTCTTCTTCAGTACAGGTACCTAATATTCTGTTTCACACACAATAGCAGTCTCAAATTAATGAAAACACGTCTTTTCATTGTCTTCCCATCCTTTTTCATACAATGCTTGTGTTATATTTAGCCTAATATCAAAGTAGTTTTCCTATTGATTTTATTCACTCTGAACTTCTAGCTGCTTCATTCAAGCAAGTAGGAATTTTTGTAATTAATTTAATCACATTTTACAGATTAAGACTTATAAAAAATTTGAACAAATTTATTCTCCCTTTTTTCTAAAAAAATTTTTAAACACTAATTAACAAAATTAACATTGACCTGATACATTTTGTCACTCAACCTTATCCAGAAAAAGAACACTACTTAAGTTTATGAATTACTTTCAAGCTTGGCTTTTCTCAAAATTGGCTAATCATTCCTTTTTGCTTTTAACATAAATTTTAGAATGAGTTTACTCTGTATCAAAAAAAAAAAATCCTTCTGAGATTTTTATTGGAATTGCATAAACTCTTTAGATCAATTTGGTATTTTACATACAATGAATGTTGGAATCCATGAACACTATATGTATTTTCATAAAGCTTTAGAAATCAAAGGAGTCCTTGGATGGTACAACTGATTAAGTACTTGACTACTAACCAAAGGGTCAGTAGTTTGAACCCACTCAAAGTCATCTTGGAAGACGGGCCTGGTGACCCACTTTTGAAAGATCACAACCTTGAGAATTTTATAAAGCACAGTTCTACTGTGCAATACACGGAGTCACCATGAGTCAGAATCAACTCAATGGGAACTGTGTGTGTGTGTTCATGCATGCATGTGTGCGTGTTTTTGTTTTTTTTTTTTTTAATTGGAATCAAGGAAATGTGTTATTGGCAAGGGGACAGATCAGTGGAACAGACAAGAGATTCCAGAGAAATACAGAAGCCAAACATTTATGGCCAATTGATCTTTTAAAGTGGTGCAAAAGCAATTTAATGGAGAAAGTATAGGTTTTTTTTTTTTTTTTTTAACAAGTGGTGTTGGAAAAAATGGTTATCTGTAAGAGAAAGAAATGAACCTCACATGTATATCAAAATTAACTCAAAATAGATTATATATCTTAATGTAAAATCTGAAACTTTTAGAAGAAAACGTATGAGAAAATCTCTGTAACCTGGGGTTAAACAGAGTTCTTAAATAAGATATCAAAAGCATAATTCATAACAGAAAAAAAAATTGATAAACTGAACTTAATAAAACATTTTGTTCAATGAAAGACACGTTTAAAAGAATGAAAAGACAATATATGTACCAAGAGAAAAGAAAATATTACCAAGTCACATGTGCAACATAATAAAAAATGTGTATTAGAACATATACATAACCCTCAAAACTCAAAAGCAAGAAACAACCCAGTTAAAAATGGGCAAATTATTTCAATAGACACCTCACCAAAAAAAAGATATGGGTGGTATATTTGTTCCCTAGTGCTGTTATAACAGACATACCACAAGTGGATGGATTTAACAAATAGGGATTTTTTTCTCTTACAATTTAGGAGTTTAAAAGTCTGAGTTCAAAGTGCCAGCTCTAGGGACTGGATAAAGGCCCCTTGACCTTGGACTTCAGCTCTGTCTCTTGCTCCTGGCCACTGGAGTTGGAGGTATCTCTTAACTCATGCAGGTGCTAGCTGTTGAAGCTGCAAACCCAAGGTTCACAAGTAAAATGGCATAGTCTCAAGAATTTCAAGCAACATGGCAGGCCACTACTTCAAGTCCAGAAACAGTCCCAAGGTTGTCAGGCAACATGGCAGGCTGCTGAATGAAGATTCAGATACATGCGGGGTCCAAGATTGCCAAAAAGCTCAAGATCCTTCTCAAAGTGTCTTCTTATATACTGGAAGCAGAACACATCCCTAAGGCAGCTACTTAGCTGCTCACAGCAGATTCCACCATGGAGTTATTACCAGTCCCATCATGGGGAATAACTACATCCAGCTGCCCCATCTCTCAAACCAGACCCAGCCAAGTTGATGGCAAAAAAGCATATGAAAAAATGTTGAACTATAGTCATTAGGAAAATGCATGTTAACAGTTCAATGAGATATCACTACATAAAATAGCTAAAAACAACCGATAATGCCAAGGACTAGTGAGGATTCAAAGCAACAGCAGCTCTCATACATTGCTTCCGGAAATGCAAGATAGTTAATTCACTCTCAAAAACAACTTGTCAGATTTTTATAAAGTTTAACATGCATTATATATGACCTGGGTCCCTGGTGGTGCAAATGGGTTTGCATTGGCTACTAACCAAAATGTTGGCAATTCTAACTTACCCAGAAACACCAAGGAAGAAAGGCCTGACAGTCTGCTTCTGTAAAGATTAAATCCAAGAAAATCCAATGGAGCAGTTCTACTCTGTAACACAGGGGGTTGCGATGAGTTGGAATCCACTTGATGGTAATGATTTGGTTTATTTTTTAACATATGACTTGGTAATTTCAGGTGTAGTTGTTTACCCAAGAGAAGTGAAAACTTATATTCACACAAAAAACTGTGTAAGACCACTTACAGCAGCTCTAAATTGTCAATAACTGGAAAAAAAAAAAACCCTCAAATGTCCATCAACAGGTGGATAAATTCACAAACTGTAGTACATTCCTACAATGAAATATTACTCAGCAAAAAAAAAAAGGAATTATTGATATCAGTAATAATATGTATTATCTCAAAATATCATTAGCATTATTATCAGTTAATAAAGTCAGTATCAAAGGTTTATACCATATATTTCCATTTATATGTTATTCTGGACAAGGTAAAACTATAGCAATGAGACCATATCAGTGCTTCCCAGGAGTTAGGGTTTTCATGTGACATCATGAAAGAGTTTTTTTTTTTAAGTGATGGAACTGTTCCATATCCTGATTATGGTGGTCATTACATAAATTTATATGTATCAAAATTCATAGAACTGGTCACCTCATAAAAATCAATTGTATGTTAATTTAACATTTAAATATAATAGAATGATAAAATAAAATTATATTCAGCCTCATTTTGATATAAGTTAATTTTACCATAGGTCTAATTTTCTGAATATAATACAGAAAGTATAGCATACATGATGAGAGAAAATGTGTGTATGTGTGTGTGAGAAATAGAAATAGTTTCCGTATGAGTGATATAAATAATCCAAAGTAATCATACTATTTATTTTTATACTATATACCCATTATATATTTACATTTTTTGAACTTAAGTTCTTAAATGATGCTGGACTTAATGTAATGCTAAATTTAGTTTTAATTTCCTAAGTCTACTCTGAATGACTGTTGCTGTGGGGTCAGGGGAGGTGTGAGTTTAGGGGTGGTATTGAAGGCAGTGACTGGAACATTTAAGCTTGACGTCATGGTAATATATATTCATGTCTCTGGATTTCCATAGACACCCCATCACAGCGAGTACAGTTTATTCTTGGAACTGAGGATGATGATGAGGAACACATTCCTCATGACCTTTTCACCGAACTGGATGAGATTTGCTGGCGAGAAGGTGAGGATGCCGAGTGGCGAGAAACAGCCAGGTGAGGATTTTTGTCTGGATTAAGGTATACTAAAGAATTCTCATTCTATTTAGAGAGTCCTAATGTAACAGCTTGGCAAACATCTATGAGCACTGCTGATTTCTGAGGTTGCTCATCTGGTCTGGGCATATCCTATAATGAGATACGGGTCACAATGAAATCTGAAGGCAGTAATTATAGTAAACAGTGACACAGAGCCAGCAACAGCTGCAGTCTTAAAGATAAACAGTAACATAATTTGTGTGTCATCAGCAAAACAATAGAAATTTAAAAGTAATTTATATCTGTCTTTTTGGCTGCTGGCTCAAGCCCAAAATAGTGATATTATGTGTAACTTGAACGTGGAGCTTTTATAAAGGGGAAATATGATAAGATACAGTACTGAATTTCGTGTGCTATTATTTTTTAAAAATTTTTATTGTGATTTGAGTGAAAGTTTACAAAGCAAATTCATTTTCCATGCAGTAGTTCATACACATTTTGTCCCATGACATTAACTGCAATCGTCCACAATGTAAAGCTCTCTTTCCACTTCTTCCCCATAGTTACTGCTTCCCTTTGTCCAGACCTCCTATGCACTCCCACCCCAGAGCTGTCTCCTTGTGCAAACACTGCCCTTCTGTTCTCCCATGATTGATCGCTCCCAGGAGTGTATCTTTATGATGTAAATTTTCACCCCATATGTACTATTTAATGAGGATAGAAATATTTTATAATTCATTCCTAGGATATGTATACACTTAAACATGGTGGTTTTTCAAAATACTTTTAAAAAATTACCTTTATCTATCACTTGTAATTGATATTTCTGTATTTCTATGTTGTTAGGAGCCATCAAGTAAATTTTGACTATATAATTGATGAATTGCTATGAAAATAAACTAAATTTGGGGTTTATTTTTTATTTGTTTTTGCTTACTTGCTAACTTATTTAACACACATTTATGGAGAACTTATCATGTGCCAGGTACAGTGGATATACAACAAAACAAAAAATCTTAGGTCTTACCTTTAACAATCTCACAATCTAAAGAAGGATTTAGACAAGTAAACAATTCTATATGATACTGGTGTTCAGTAGGAAATGTGGGAACATATTAAAATTTCCTTATTGCTTCCCAAGTTTTCATGTAAATATGAATCTACTGGATTTTGTTAAAATACAGATTCAGTAGGCCTTGGGCAAAGGGCCTGAGATTCTGCATTTCTAACAAGCTCCTAGGTAGTATCATGTCAATATTTTTGAGGACCACACTTTGAGTATCAAGGATCTAAGCTCTGTGAGTGAAGGAGAGGAGATCTGTATAGTCTCCCTGGATGTCATACCTGAGCTAACTCTTGAATGTTGAGTAGGACTTAACCAGTTACTGTGAAGTCATTTCTAACTCAAGGCCCCCTAATTTGTGCCAGAGCAGAATTTCTCTGCAGAGTTTTCAATGTCTGATTTTTCAGAAGTAGATCTTTAGGTCTTTCTTCTCAGACACCTCTATGTAAACTCAAACCTCCAAGTTTTTGGTTAGCAGCAAAGCATGTTAACCATTTGTACCTTCCATGGGCTCCTGATTAGAATTTTGCTAGGCTTAGAAATAGGGGTCAGGGATTGTATTCCAGGCAGAGGGAACAGGATGTGCTTTCACACATTCATTGACCCAGGTTGGACTGTTTTGTTAGGCTATCCCTTCCTAGGAGCCCTGGTGGTGCAGTGGTTAAGAGCTCTACTGTGAACCAAGAAATTTGTGGTTAGAATTTCATGGGAGAAAGATGTGGCACTCCACTTCTGTAAAGATTTACAACCTTAGAAACACTATAACCAAACCAACCCAAACTCACTGCCATCAAGTCAATTCTGACTCATAGGGACCCCCTTTGGATTTCCAAGGTGGTATATCTTTATGGAAGTAGATTGCCCAGTCTTCCTTCCACAGAGGGGTTGATGGGTTTGAACCGCTAACCTTCTGATTAGCAGTCAAATATCTTAGGGACTCCAACAGAGCTCATCTTAGAAACATTATTAAACTGATGTACTCAGTCCTATAGGGTCACTCTGAGTTGGAATAGACTTCAGAGTGAAGGATTTATCTCTTTTCATGGCCAGAGAGCTCTAATTGTTAGGACATTCTTTTTCTTCTTTTTTTAAACGTATCTGTTAATGGCCTTCAGATTGCAACATTCTTCTGAAAGCTGATTTACTCTGTTGTATTAGACTAAATGTGGGCTTCAGTTACTAGTTGCCTTAACCCTGTCTACCCAGAGTTAGTGTGGAACTAAGTATTGAATCATGATAATAAATATTATGAATAATACTGGCCCAGTTAATTCTTTTTTGATATATTTTGAGTGGTTTTTACAACTCTCCTTTATATGTATAAAAAAATACTAAAGAAGAAAAACAACAAAATGGCTGAACCCAGTTCGTTGCTAACATTTTTAAAAAATAAAACTGATAATTGATGATAGTTAAAATTCAAGAAATATAAAAAGGGAAAAAAGCAAAAATATCCTTTTACTGTTATTTACAGATTCTCTCCTCAAGTAACCACTGATAAGAGTTGCTTATGCATCTTCCCAGAAAAACTTTAATGTTTAGTTGTTGTTGTTGTTATGTGCCGTCAAGTCGGACCCAACTCATAGCGACCCCTCCTTGAGTTTCTGAGGCAGTATCACTACCGAAGTAGATTGCCCCATCTTCCTTCAAGGAGTGGCTGGTGGGTTTGAACTGCTAGTCTGGTTAGCAGTCAAGTGCCTTAGGCACTACTCTATCAGAGCTCATCCTTTTTTATTTACACAGTAAGAATTATGTAATAGGCTATGTTCATAATATGCATTCAATTATATGGATGAGCTTTCTTTTATTTAGCCAGTCTTGATAGATAGTTATGTTGATTTTTTGCTATAATGTTAATATGACAATTATAATGTTAATTATATATGTTATTGCAATGTTAATATATTGGCGTTATTTTATTAGTAATTACGCAAGGTGAAGGAGCCTTTGTGATATAGTGGGTAAAATGCTAAGCTGCTAAGCAAAAGGTTGGTGGTTCAAACCCATCAGCCACTTTGCAGGAGAAAGATGTGGCAGTCTGCTTTCATAAAGATTAACAGCCTTAGAAACTCTATGGGGCAATTCTACTCTGTCCTAAAGGGTCGCTATCAGTCAGAATCAACTCGAAAGCTATGGGTTTTGGGGTATGCAAGGTGAATTTCTGACAGTGGAATTTACGTATCAAACAGAAGACTTTGTTTACTTTGATATATATTGCAAAATTACCTGCATAAAATACTTTGGTAATTTACACTTCCACCAATAACACAAGAATTTATTTCCCCAAAACCCTTGCCACACTGAGTTATCAGACTTTTAAAAATTGTTGCTAATTTGAAAGATGAAAAAATAAATCTCATTGTTTTAATTTGCAATTCTTTAATTAGTGTGGTTGATCATCTTTTCATGTTATCATTTTTTTCCTGTGAACTATTTATTTCCTTTATCCATTTTAAGTAGATTTTTAATCTAGCAAATATTAAGCTCCAGAACCTGCTATCTTATTTTTTTTTCTAACTGCATCATCTAAAACTAAGTACTTGAGGCTTTTACAATACATAATGTATGTACTTATCTTCTTTATTTAGAGAAAGAAAAACAATATATGATAATCTTCTTTACATATTAGTGATATAATTTTTGCTCTTTCATGATTAAAAAGCTGTTGATAGAAAGTTGAAGTGTGTATCTCCCTGTTTAAGGTTAGAAACATCTGAGTTCAATAACAAATGGATGTTTTTCTATGTAATTTGAAACATCATATGGTTATGGTGTTTAGGCGGGTCTGTTAGTGTCTCTTTTAAGTTCTGCAGAGAAGCAGTTTTTGAAAGCATTTCCCCTAGATTCCTTTCTTCACCTTCATGCATAAAGGAGCTGAGACGTAAGATTGGAATATGCATTTTGGTTGGTGACTTTTCATCTACCAGATCAAACAGTGATCTGTTACTTTCAATCAGTAACTTCCTTGTAATTTGTCCTCTCATATAAAGCTAAGAAGCAGCAGAAGCAATATTAGAATTAAATACTTTTCTCCCTGTCCCAGTTGAGCAGTTAGGATTTTATAATGCTCTAGTGGATTAACTTGAACAATGTGAACTATACATCTATCCTAAGTGACCAATATATATTCCCGGTTATTTATAAAGAATAAAAATGATGATCTAGTCAATTAGGAGCTTTCTCTAATGTTATTCTGTAGGATCTGTTGTTATGGATTGAATTGTGTCCTCCCAAAACATATTAATAGTATTGTATGGTTGTCCTCCATTTGTGATATGATGTAAATTATCCTCCATTTTGTGATATGTTGTAAATCCTAACGTTTATATGTTAATGAGGCAGGATCAGTGTGGGGTGTATCTTGAGTCACAGCCTCATAAGACAGTGTGACTAAAATCATACCCTTACTCAAGTCACACCTATACCCAAGTCACACCCATGTTTGAGTCATACCTTTCATTTTACAAGAGATAATAGGGAAAGAGAACCTGGTAGAGAGGAGAGGGGCTTCACTATCACTAAGAAAGAAGAACCTGGAGCAAAGCAAATCCTTTGAACCTGGGGTCCCTGCACTGAGAACTTCCTTGACCAAAGACAAGATTGATGCCAAGACACCTAGAGATCTCCAAGGAATTCCAGGCCCACAGATGTTGAAAGGAGACAAGGACCTTCCCCTAGAGCTGACAACAAGAGAAAGCCTTCCCCTAGAGCTAGCACCCTGAATTTGGACTCCTAGTCTCCTAAATTGTGAGAGACTAAATTTCTGTTTAGGAGCTCTGGTAGCATAGTGCCTAAGGCACTTGATTGCTAACCAGGAGGTTGGTGGTTCAAACCCACCAGCCACTCCTCAAAAGGAAGATTGGGCAATCTACTTCCATAGAAATACTGACTTGGAAACCCAAGGAGTAGTTGCTATGAGTCAGGTCTGACTCGACAGCACAAAACAACAACAATA